AGGGGGAAGTGGGGAGGTGGAGGAGGGAAGGAGAGGTGGGGAGGTAGGGAAAAGTGGGGGAGAGAGGGATGAAGGTGGGGACGTAAGGAAAGGGGAAAAGGAGGGGAGGGGGAGAATGGGGAGGTGGGAGGAGAATGGAGAGGAGGTGGAGGGGAAGAAAGAGGGGGAAGGGGAGGTGGGGAAGGATTAGGGGTATACTGACACTAAACAGATTTATTTGGTCTCAAGAACTGGATGACGTTTCCTTGCGCATTTTGGTTTAAAAAAAATAGACCAGTTCCTTTGATCAAAGAGATAAATATCTTAAAGAACATTATAAATGGAGGTGGTATTGGGGAAGGAGGAAGGTTGGGGTAGAGGGGGTGGAGAAAGAGGAGGAGTGTGTGTGTGTGTGTGTGTGTGTGTGTGTGTGTGTGTGTTTGTGTGTTGATGTTTGGATGTGTATTTGAGTCTGCTCTCCGTAGTTTTATGGTTTAATCAGTTTTGATAGGTTTTGATCTTGTATTGAATACACAAACCCCATTTCAAAACACACACACACACACACACACACACACACACACACACACACACACACACACACACACACACACACATATATATATATGTATCACCTTCAGTAAGCACAGCAACTCGAGTTCTTTGCCCTCGTTGCAATTACTGTCTGTTGCATTGATGATGCATGATCCATCGTCACTCGCCCAGCTTGCAAGAGTGTGATGCTGCATGGGTCGTTGACAAGTCTTTGGTCACGTGCTCATTCACCTGTTGCTTTGTGCATTATGCAACTATTGGCCTTTGCGGTGGGCGGCTGGATGTTGCCGATGGCCAATGTTGTCGCTGTTGTTGGTATTGTTGTTGTTGTTGTTATTATTATTATTATTTTTATTATTATTATTATTGTTGTTGTTGTTGTTGTTGTTGTTATTAATATCACCATCATTATCATCATCATTTTTATTACTATTATTACTATTACCATTATTTTTTCATTATGTTTATTGTTTTTGTTATTATTATCATTATTATTATTATTATCATTATTATTATTATCATTATTATTATTATTATTATCATTATTATTATTTTATTATTATCACCTTCATCATCATTATCATCGTTGTTGTTATTAGTGTTATTATTATTAGTAGTAGTAGTAGAAGTAGTATCGTCATTATTATTATTACTGTTATCGTTATTATAATCTTCATCATTATCTTCGTTAGCATCAGAGTCGTAGTAGAAGTATAACATTAGCAGGAGTAATATCACCATCAATATCGTTATTATTATCATTATTATTATCCTTATTATGATCATTATTAGTAGTAGTAGTAGTAGTAGTAGTAGTAGTAGTATTGCTGTTGTTATCATTAATAGAATCACTATTATTATTGTTGTTATTTTATTATTATTATCATGAAATGTTATCATTATTATTGTTGTTGTTGCTTTTTATTACTATTGCCATTTAATATCATTGTAATTATTATTGCTCTATTATTATAACTTTTACTCCTTGTACCTCTTTGTTCCTTCCTTTATTATTTGTTTTTTATTCTCATTTTCTTTATTGCCTTCCTGTTTCGGATGCTATTTTTGCGTCACTGTAATTATCATTTGTTTTTCTTTATTCTCGTAGTTGGAGTCGTTCAAATCGTTATTGCTGTTATAGTTTACCTGATTGCCATGGGTATTACTTTTATCATTATTATCAAAATCATTACCTCTTTTTCTGTTTCCTTCTCATCATCCACGTATTCATCAAATAATCCTTCGCGTCTCTTTATTCATTCGCCTATTCCGTTTATTCTCTGCGTTATACTTTTTGTTTTCTTTTTTTTTCTTTAATGTTCCCGTGCAATTCCCAGAGCCGCGGCTGTTGAGTGTCAGGGAGTGAACGCTGGACTTGTGGTTCTCTGCTTCGTTCGCTTGATGTTCATTTGTGTCTGTCAGTTTGAAAGTAATACATACGCATTACACATACATACACTTGCACTTGCATACACGCATATGTACACGCTCATACATACACTTACACTCACACTCACGCACACACACACACACACACACACACACACACACACACACACACACACACACACACACACACACACACACACACACACACACACACACACACACACACTCACTCACTCACACACACACAACACACACACACACACATATATATATTATTATTATTATTATTATTATTATTATTATTATTATTATTATTATTATTATTATTATTAGTAGTAGTAGTAGTAGAAGTATAACATTAGCAGGAGTAATATCACCATCAATATCGTTATTATTATCATTATTATTATCCTTATTATTATCATTATTATTATTATTAGTAGTAGTAGTAGTAGTAGTAGTAGTAGTAGTAGTAGTAGTAGTAGTAGTAGTAGTAGTAGTAGTAGTAGTAGTAGTAGTAGTAGTAGTAGTAGTAGTAGTAGTAGTAGTAGTAGTAGTAGTAGTAGTAGTAGTAGTAGTAGTAGTAGTAGTAGTAGTAGTAGTAGTAGTAGTAGTAGTAGTAGTAGTAGTAGTAGTAGTAGTAGTAGTAGTAGTAGTAGTAGTAGTAGTAGTAGTAGTAGTAGTAGTAGTAGTAGTAGTAGTAGTAGTAGTAGTAGTAGTAGTAGTAGTAGTAGTAGTAGTAGTAGTAGTAGTAGTAGTAGTAGTAGTAGTAGTAGTAGTAGTAGTAGTAGTAGTAGTAGTAGTAGTAGTAGTAGTAGTAGTAGTAGTAGTAGTAGTAGTAGTAGTAGTAGTAGTAGTAGTAGTAGTAGTAGTAGTAGTAGTAGTAGTAGTAGTAGTAGTAGTAGTAGTAGTAGTAGTAGTAGTAGTAGTAGTAGTAGTAGTAGTAGTAGTAGTAGTAGTAGTAGTAGTAGTAGTAGTAGTAGTAGTAGTAGTAGTAGTAGTAGTAGTAGTAGTAGTAGTAGTAGTAGTAGTAGTAGTAGTAGTAGTAGTAGTAGTAGTAGTAGTAGTAGTAGTAGTAGTAGTAGTAGTAGTAGTAGTAGTAGTAGTAGTAGTAGTAGTAGTAGTAGTAGTAGTAGTAGTAGTAGTAGTAGTAGTAGTAGTAGTAGTAGTAGTAGTAGTAGTAGTAGTAGTAGTAGTAGTAGTAGTAGTAGTAGTAGTAGTAGTAGTAGTAGTAGTAGTAGTAGTAGTAGTAGTAGTAGTAGTAGTAGTAGTAGTAGTAGTAGTAGTAGTAGTAGTAGTAGTAGTAGTAGTAGTAGTAGTAGTAGTAGTAGTAGTAGTAGTAGTAGTAGTAGTAGTAGTAGTAGTAGTAGTAGTAGTAGTAGTAGTAGTAGTAGTAGTAGTAGTAGTAGTAGTAGTAGTAGTAGTAGTAGTAGTAGTAGTAGTAGTAGTAGTAGTAGTAGTAGTAGTAGTAGTAGTAGTAGTAGTAGTAGTAGTAGTAGTAGTAGTAGTAGTAGTAGTAGTAGTAGTAGTAGTAGTAGTAGTAGTAGTAGTAGTAGTAGTAGTAGTAGTAGTAGTAGTAGTAGTAGTAGTAGTAGTAGTAGTAGTAGTAGTAGTAGTAGTAGTAGTAGTAGTAGTAGTAGTAGTAGTAGTAGTAGTAGTAGTAGTAGTAGTAGTAGTAGTAGTAGTAGTAGTAGTAGTAGTAGTAGTAGTAGTAGTAGTAGTAGTAGTAGTAGTAGTAGTAGTAGTAGTAGTAGTAGTAGTAGTAGTAGTAGTAGTAGTAGTAGTAGTAGTAGTAGTAGTAGTAGTAGTAGTAGTAGTAGTAGTAGTAGTAGTAGTAGTAGTAGTAGTAGTAGTAGTAGTAGTAGTAGTAGTAGTAGTAGTAGTAGTAGTAGTAGTAGTAGTAGTAGTAGTAGTAGTAGTAGTAGTAGTAGTAGTAGTAGTAGTAGTAGTAGTAGTAGTAGTAGTAGTAGTAGTAGTAGTAGTAGTAGTAGTAGTAGTAGTAGTAGTAGTAGTAGTAGTAGTAGTAGTAGTAGTAGTAGTAGTAGTAGTAGTAGTAGTAGTAGTAGTAGTAGTAGTAGTAGTAGTAGTAGTAGTAGTAGTAGTAGTAGTAGTAGTAGTAGTAGTAGTAGTAGTAGTAGTAGTAGTAGTAGTAGTAGTAGTAGTAGTAGTAGTAGTAGTAGTAGTAGTAGTAGTAGTAGTAGTAGTAGTAGTAGTAGTAGTAGTAGTAGTAGTAGTAGTAGTAGTAGTAGTAGTAGTAGTAGTAGTAGTAGTAGTAGTAGTAGTAGTAGTAGTAGTAGTAGTAGTAGTAGTAGTAGTAGTAGTAGTAGTAGTAGTAGTAGTAGTAGTAGTAGTAGTAGTAGTAGTAGTAGTAGTAGTAGTAGTAGTAGTAGTAGTAGTAGTAGTAGTAGTAGTAGTAGTAGTACATACACTTACACTCACACTCACGCACACACACACACACACACACACACACACACACACACACACACACACACACACACACACACACACACACACACACACACACACACACACACACACTCACTCACTCACACACACATACACACACACACATATAATATATATATATACATATACATACACATGTGTATGTATACATATACACACACACACACCTATATACCTATATACATACATATGTATATACGCATATATATGCATGCATACATGCATATACATAAGGACACGCCCAATCTAAGCATCTGTGTACGAACATACCCATGTATAAATAATTTGATCAGTAGACGTGACCCAATTTTCTTCTTGATCATGGTGCTGTTATTACTGATCTTAAGGTTATTTTTGTTTAAAATTCTGATGTTTATTTTCTTATTTATTTACTCAATAACCACTCGAGATATTATATATACCGAATCCCTACCAAAACGTTCTCACTCCCTGGCCACCACCACACCACGCTCCATCACAGGAACGTCTTCTCAAACAGAACTTCATAAACACCTTCCACCCTCCGACTTTCCAAACAACTTGAAAGCCAATGTTTTTACACGAAAGTTTAATCGCGATTTTATTATTTTTTTCTGTCTCTTCCCCAGGACAAGGATGGCCAGCAGGGATTCAGTACAGGTCAGTCAACACGCAACAGCCCAAGGTACAGAAACACATCGTCAGACTTCACAATCTCCTGCGGGCCAAAGTCACCCCGACGGCCGCCGACATGTTAGCGATGGTGAGTGTAAAGGGTGTGACAATTTTGTTGCTGTGAGAATGTGGAAATGGGAGGTAGTGAGTTTTTTTTTTATCGAAGTGGTTGTTATGATAGTAGAGCGGCAGTGGTGATTGTAGTGGTGGTAATAGTAGTAGTTGTTGTAGTAGTTAAGGCGATAGGTTGCTGTTTTTTTTTAGAAAGAGAAGAGTATAGAGTTGGGTTGTATTTATGTGAAAAAATGTAGATATATAATTGAAAAATGAGAGAGAGAAATACACAGTGAGTGAGTGACCGACTGAGTGAATGAGTAAGTGAGTGAGTAAGTGAGTGGTGAGTTGAGTGAGTGAGTGAGTGAGTGAGTGAGTGAGTGAGTGAGTGAGTGAGTGAGTGAGTGAGTGAGTGAGTGAGTGAGTGAGTGAGTGAGTGAGTGAGTGAGTGAGTGAGTGAGTGAGTGAGTGAGTGAGTGAGTGAGTGAGTGAGTGAGTGAGTGAGTGAGTGAGTGAGTGAGTGAGTGAGTGAGTGAGTGAGTGAGTGAGTGAGTGAGTGAGTGAGTGAGTGAGTGAGTGAGTGAGTGAGTGAGTGAGTGAGTGAGTGAGTGAGTGAGTGAGTGAGTGAGTGAGTGAGTGAGTGAGTGAGTGAGTGAGTGAGTGAGTGAGTGAGTGAGTGAGTGAGTGAGTGAGTGAGTGAGTGAGTGAGTGAGTGAGTGAGTGAGTGAGTGAGTGAGTGAGTGAGTGAGTGAGTGAGTGAGTGAGTGAGTGAGTGAGTGAGTGAGTGAGTGAGTGAGTGAGTGAGTGAGTGAGTGAGTGAGTGAGTGAGTGAGTGAGTGAGTGAGTGAGTGAGTGAGTGAGTGAGTGAGTGAGTGAGTGAGTGAGTGAGTGAGTGAGTGAGTGAGTGAGTGAGTGAGTGAGTGAGTGAGTGAGTGAGTGAGTGAGTGAGTGAGTGAGTGAGTGAGTGAGTGAGTGAGTGAGTGAGTGAGTGAGTGAGTGAGTGAGTGAGTGAGTGAGTGAGTGAGTGAGTGAGTGAGTGAGTGAGTGAGTGAGTGAGTGAGTGAGTGAGTGAGTGAGTGAGTGAGTGAGTGAGTGAGTGAGTGAGTGAGTGAGTGAGTGAGTGAGTGAGTGAGTGAGTGAGTGAGTGAGTGAGTGAGTGAGTGAGTGAGTGAGTGAGTGAGTGAGTGAGTGAGTGAGTGAGTGAGTGAGTGAGTGAGTGAGTGAGTGAGTGAGTGAGTGAGTGAGTGAGTGAGTGAGTGAGTGAGTGAGTGAGTGAGTGAGTGAGTGAGTGAGTGAGTGAGTGAGTGAGTGAGTGAGTGAGTGAGTGAGTGAGTGAGTGAGTGAGTGAGTGAGTGAGTGAGTGAGTGAGTGAGTGAGTGAGTGAGTGAGTGAGTGAGTGAGTGAGTGAGTGAGTGAGTGAGTGAGTGAGTGAGTGAGTGAGTGAGTGAGTGAGTGAGTGAGTGAGTGAGTGAGTGAGTGAGTGAGTGAGTGAGTGAGTGAGTGAGTGAGTGAGTGAGTGAGTGAGTGAGTGAGTGAGTGAGTGAGTGAGTGAGTGAGTGAGTGAGTGAGTGAGTGAGTGAGTGAGTGAGTGAGTGAGTGAGTGAGTGAGTGAGTGAGTGAGTGAGTGAGTGAGTGAGTGAGTGAGTGAGTGAGTGAGTGAGTGAGTGAGTGAGTGAGTGAGTGAGTGAGTGAGTGAGTGAGTGAGTGAGTGAGTGAGTGAGTGAGTGAGTGAGTGAGTGAGTGAGTGAGTGAGTGAGTGAGTGAGTGAGTGAGTGAGTGAGTGAGTGAGTGAGTGAGTGAGTGAGTGAGTGAGTGAGTGAGTGAGTGAGTGAGTGAGTGAGTGAGTGACTTCCATTATCACCGCTACAACTGCTATGGAAATATACACAGATAAACCCACTTAACCGCTTCCCTCTCCCGCCACTCATAACCAAGGACCGCCTCCCGTCCCAGCGCCACCTTATCTCTCGACGCGATTTCAGGCCTGGTACGACACGGCGGCGGAGCAGGCGCAGGCGTGGGCGGAGCAGTGCGGAGCGGACTCGGAGGCGGACCACCCGAGTGTCAGGTGGACGTCCCGCTACGGCGCCTGCGGACAGAACGTCATGGTGTCGCCCAGGAAGCGCCATTGGTGAGGAGTAGGAGGATCGGGGGAGGAGGGAGAGGAATGGGGTAGATTAGAGGAAGAGGAGGAGAGGAAGGAATGATAATGATGGTGATGATGAGAATAATAAAGATAGGGATAATAACAGTAACGGCAATGATAATAATAATGATGATAATGGTAGTAATAACTAAATAGTAATAACCAACAATAATAATTATGATAATAATAATAATAATAATAATAGTAATATGAAGAGGAAGGAGAGGATGATATTAATGATGAGATCGAGGATG